TCGTTGTCGTTGTCGTTGTCGTTGTCGTTGTCGTTGTCGTTGTCGTTATCGCTTTATTTTCGTTTTTCTATCATTCTGCCATGTCATCAGTGCGTAAGCCGTCAGGTCGCCTCTATAAACCACTATATATCTAACTGACTTTGTCGTTTATGCCATTCAGTTTATGTGCACGCCAACCGCACAGGAAAATGTTAATAAATGATAACATGTTCCACAAAACTTTGTTTGTCATTGATTTGGTTAGGTGCCGTTCTACATGTATATACATGACTATGATATGGTTCGGTTGAATTTCGTCGCCTAGTTTGCGCTTCGCATATATTTAAAACGAAACAAAAAGAATAAAAGCAGACAATCGAAAAATAAAAGTAGAACTAATGCAACAAACCATTTATTGCCCACTAACACAGGCGTATGTGTGCAAAAGCAAACCGTGTCACATTTTGTATTCACTATACGAATCGAATGAACGTTATACTTTTCAACAATTTGCAATATGCACACACAGCGAGAAAGAAAGAAAGAGAATAAGCCGTTTGAAAAGGCGGCGACGAGCGAAGAAGATACTCGCAAATCGAATCACAGAACAAAGCCACCAAAAGCAGTGCAAACGACAATCAAAGTGGAAAATAATCAAATCATCTTTGCTCTCTCTCTCTCTCTCTCTCTCTCTCTCTCTCTCTCTCTCTCTTCATCCCTATCTACCCATTGATGGCATTGCATTTGCTCTGTATTTATGCATGATATTTATTTATTACGCAAAAGTTGTTGCCTGATTGATTGTTTGCATATTGAAATTCCATTGGTGATTTGTTTTCTTTTTCGTTCGACTAAGCGCCAGCAATGGGCGCATCCAACCCGAAGAAAACGGTGTACATTTTATGTCATCTCGTCATCAAACTGACAGCATATAAAATACAAAAGAGCGAACGGGCGAAAAATCGAGAAAAGAAGAAGAAAATGGAATGAAAGCCAAAGAATTTCAAACCTTCTGCGGGGGAATTGATGCGGCAAAATGTTTTCGTGCTGTGTGTGTGTGTATCACCATCGAGAGGAACGGCTATAAATATTTTATAGTTGAAAATAGAAATTTATTGGACAAAGAAACAAATCAATAGCACCCATAATAATTTGACAGCAACGACACAGAATTCGGCCTCGTTCTCAACCGGCCAAAAAATGAAATGAAATCGTATTGGTACAGCCAACGAATAATAACGAGACAGAAAAACTTTTCGCTTCTTCTTTTTGCATAGCAAAACTTTCCCAACGAATAAATGGACGAAGAGAGAAGAAAAAGAAGCAGAAAATCCGTTGAATATGAGAAGAGCGTTTTCCATGCGATTTCATTTATTCATAGTCACAAAATTTCATGCTCTTTGTGAGATCTTTCGCAACATCAAATTGTGCAAAACTTGGTGCTGTCGGTGTTGATTTGGCGATTCAAAATTCGAAATGGTCTAATTAAAAGTTGCTTAGGCTCGGAAAATGCAACTAACGCCGTTTGGGTGTTTGGTTGTGCTCGTCATTTTACGAATGAATTGTGGTGTACATAAAATTACCATTCAAGCTGCTCGATTTGCACACACTGTGCTCTTCCCGAGCGAAAATACCCACAGATACGATTTTTATGGCAAAGGCTATACAAGTTTTGGAGTCTGTTTCATTTGTGGTGTGCATGTGTGTGTGTGTGTGTGTGTGTGTGTGTGTGTGCGTTTGTATGGTGTGTTTGGATGCGTTAAAGCATTTGGTGTCTGCTCCTTCAGGTAGAAAATATCGCAAGTGTAGCCAATTATAATTTAGCTTTGATAGCATCGAACCAGATCTGTTCAGTGTGAGAGCACCTGTTTTTTCGGGCTTCAAAATGAATACTCTGTCAAACTTTATCCCAATTGAATGCTAGCCACCTTTTTTGCCATCGCGGCACTCTTTTCACTCCATGCACATTTTTTCTCTCGGGAACGGGGTACCTTTCGCTCACTCGCTGGCTCTCTAGCTCTCACTGTTTGTATGTATCGATGTATGAGTGTGATTTCTCTGTGTATGTGACGAGAAAAGATGAGGGAAAAAAATGTGCTTGACTACTTTGAAGTAGTAACTGAGCAATAGAAATACAAAATACACTCGGAGTGAGAGCGCTGTGTGTATATTGGTGCTACATAGCAATTCTCTGATTAGTGGGATTGCGTTGCCTTGACACGGTTTCTTTGACTGGTGTAGCTTTAACTTTCAAATAATTATCTGCCATTATTATATACATGTTGGTATGGTATTTTATTTGTAACGACGCTTTCAATCCATAATCACTGTTAAACGGTTTATTTCATTTTTATTGTTGGCGGTCGCATATTGTTGTAATCGCATTGTTGCCGTACCACCATTTTTCTATTTGATGCAATGTCCAACAGGATTCCAGCACCTTTTTTTTTCTTTGAATAATGGAACCTCTGTAATGAAAAGAGGGAGAAAGAGAGAGAGAGAGAGAGAGAGAGAGAGAGAGAGAGAGAGAGAGAGAGAAGAGGTGTAAAAACAGTGTTGACTGGCTCTGTGTGCTTTATGGTACGTATAATATAAAATCAAATGAAAATGGCAAAATGCGTCGAATGGATAACAAACATGCATGTTTGTGACAATGTAGGCCTTGTACCTTTACTAAAATTTGAATGCAAGGCTTTTTTTAGGCATAAGTCACATCGAAATTGGGTCGTACAAGAAAATTGGAATTGGTTTTTCCAAAAACCCTCCACTCTCCAATTTGCGCGTCGTTTTTCATTTGCAGGAGCGACTGATAATAACTAATAGGGAACATGCGAGAGTCTGTTCATTTCCTTATTGTGCTGATTTACACGGCACTATTTGCTTAATTTCACGCCTTTATTGTTCTCTACAATACAATTTAATCACGAATATTTTATGATTGTTTGGTATTTGCAGATGGCTGGTGGTGGCGATCCAAAATGGCAAAAAGATGCAGCTGATCAAAATTTCGATTATATGTTCAAATTGTTAATTATCGGTAATTCTAGTGTGGGCAAAACGAGTTTTCTATTCCGTTATGCTGACGATTCGTTTACGTCGGCATTCGTGTCAACAGTTGGCATTGACTTTAAGGTGAAAACAGTATTTCGTCATGATAAACGAGTTAAGCTGCAAATTTGGGTGAGTTGATTTTTTTTCTCTTTGGTTTTCCTTTGTTTTTCACATCCACCCCATATTAAAATCAGATTCTGATCCGAGCCAGAAGAAGAGTCAATAAAAACATCAATATTTATAACTTGAAAAAAAAAACTTCGGTTTTTTCTCTATCTTTGCCTCTCTTGTAGGATACGGCTGGCCAAGAGCGATACAGAACCATAACGACCGCTTACTATAGAGGCGCTATGGGCTTCATTTTGATGTACGATATCACAAACGAAGAGAGTTTTAATTCGGTGCAGGATTGGTAAGAAACGTCCACCCGCGCGCACTTTGACTCAATGATATTTTCTTTTATTAGAATTAATTAAAATCCTCTCGTTTCTTCTCCTTCTTCTTCTTTTCCCATTCAACGTTCTTGAAATGGAAAAAAAAAACACAGGGTAACACAAATAAAAACCTATTCGTGGGATAATGCACAAGTTATATTGGTCGGTAATAAATGCGACATGGAAGATGAGCGTGTCATTTCATTCGAACGTGGTAAACAATTAGCCGATCAATTAGGAGTTGAATTTTTCGAAACATCTGCCAAGGAAAATGTTAATGTTAAGGTAACAAAAAAAAGCCAATTGGTTTCAAATCGAACAAAATGCGTTACAATTTTTTTTTTTTCAATTACTTATCATTCAATTTTCCATTTGTATTTCTTATGTGTGTGTGTCCCGTTGAACAGGCCGTTTTTGAACGCTTAGTAGACATAATTTGTGACAAAATGTCAGAAAGCTTAGATTCAGATCCAAATCTAGTGGCTGGCGGTCCAAAAGGGCAACGTCTGACTGATCCACCTCAAGCTGGCCCAACCAACAATTGCAATTGTTAAGGCATCAATCAACAACAGCAACAACAACAAAAAGAACAACCAACATACCGATTTTGTTCATTTCAAACAAAAAACCAAACCAAACAACCATGAATTGTACACATTCAGCATGTTCATTTCCATAACAACCAATCAGACAGCAGAAATAACAAGAAGCAAATGAAAATGAAGGAAATTTGCAGAGAAAACCAAACGGGATACATCAAAAGATAAGGGAAAAAAAGAGAAGAAATTTCCGAAAAATAAAATTAAAATGAAATGAGTAAGAAGTTGCAAAAACAAAAGTTGAACCATAATTTTCAATGGTTCGTTTCGGTTGTAGTCACGCAACCGAAATTCACAATTATAAAGAGCGTCTAGTCATTCGCAAGAAAAAAAAACAAAAATATGTGTATGGGAATGAACGTATAACTTTCAGAGCCGAAAAAAAAACAGAAAACAAAAGACACGAAACTCAAGCACCGACATTTTTCTCCATCAACACCATATAAGGATCAATGAGAGCAAACGGTTCATACACATTCACACTTTCATTCCGAACACTAACAAGAGATGTGTTGTAATGAATCCTTCTTTGTTTTATCGTGCTACATATATAACAAACTATTTTATAAATGCTTTAATTTTGATAATTCAAATATGAGAAGCAAAACAAGGCGATGAAGCAGAATGAATAAGAGAAACAGAATAATAATGAAACCACTACACTAAGATTATCACTGATCAAACATATAAATTCGGTAAATGTTTTGCACTTCATTTCAGGGAACGCGAAACTTTTCGATGCATTAACAAACCAATACGAACAAACACATAAACAATATATTAAACAAGAAAAAAAAACACAACCAAAACCAAAAACCAAATAATAATTCAATGTAGTAAGTGAAACACTACACATATCTATTTTCTTAAAAATAAATAAAAATGGTTAAGTAGGTGGTCATACATTTGATAAATAGAATTGCATGGACATACAGTATGCGGCCAATTGGTTGAAAAAAAAACGAAAATTGTCAAGTGTCGCTGTAATGCGAAAGAGGAAAGAGACGAGGAAATTTTTTGTGTTGTTTTAGTTGCAATGCTTTCAAAGAATGGACGGCAGAAAAAAAGAATGGCAAAACCACATTTGGCCGAGAAGTGGAGAATTCGGTCGGAAAAAGAATGATTTCGAAAGATGTAAAGTTTTATTCAATTAAACGAACTCAAGTACGCAATCAAATCCCAAGTTGTTGATAAAAAAAAATCCAAATGAATTGAAGAGAAGCAAAAAAGAAAGGAAAAAAAGCTGAGGATCTAGATTAGTTCAAGTGTGAGAGAGCGAGGAATAACAAACATTAAACCCAATAACAAACAAAATACCGTATGCGTCGCTACGAAAGGATGAATACCGTTTTATTTGCTGTATATGTTATAGTAGACAATAAAAGAAGAAACAAGATTCAGGTTTTCGGGGGATACCATTTCACGCGTACCTTTGATCCAGGTCATCGTCATCAAAGGGACACACATACACAGAGACACAATGCACACCGTATGTGAAATGCGATACACAAATACGACAAACCAACGAACAAAAAATGCGGTATCGTTAAGTATATAGAGTTACCAATTTTTTTCTTTCCTTTTCTCGGTTGTTTGTTGAGAAAATAGAGCACAAATGAAAATACAGAGATGAGAAACCAAAACGGCAATGTTGAGATCAGGTTTCGGAAGAAGAGCTGTCAATTTCTCCCATTCACGATACTAGCGCCACTGAGGTATATAGCAAATCAATGTAAAGTGGAGTTTATTTTGTAACTAAAATACGCGGCATTTTTGAAATATCGTACTATTTCCGCACCTTGGTTGAGATATATAAGAAAATATTTAGATTAAACATAAAAAGTGTAAAGGAGGAATACAGAGGAGAGCAGAACGAAGCAGAAAAACAAAACAAATGCACACGAAATTGTCTTGTATCAATGTCATTTCTTTTTGTTTCGCTTGCGCAATTTGAACATTCACACAAAATACCATAGATGAAACGTTACCATTGTGCATTTTATTGAGCAAAATGAAGAGTATGAGCGTTCTTTTTTTTCCTGCCACCGACTAGACTAGTGCCGAGCACTGTGCTTTTACATTGATATCTCAGCATTTTTGTTGTATTCTCACGCGCATTTGGCGGTTATCGTTTTAAGTAAGACCCACATACACACAAAATACGAACCCTTTTACCCAGCCACAATCTCCTGCCTCCTTCGAAAATTTACTCCACCATATAGTTTCAACCAGCACATATGAAAACAAAAAAAATATCAAGAAAACTACAGGAATCACACGTAACATAAACAACACAAATGCTGTCATGCCAGAAAACAAGCAACTCGCAGAACGGATACTGAATGTCGTTCCGAATGTGAATTCCTCAAAATCCATGGAACAAAGACGAAACGAAGAAAAAGAAGAAGAAGAAGAAGAAGAAAAAAAAGCTACCGATTCATTATACCTAATGATTAAAGTGTTATGTAGTTTCAATATTGTTTTTCGTTTGATGGAATTGGCCACAGAAATCACATACAGTTCATTATTATTGAATTAAGCAAGTAATTATTATAAAGGAAGGGAAAAAAAACAATCAGGACAAAAACAAAATCAGGGCATGAAATACACATTATTGAAACATTGTATACCAACAACAACAACAACAGCAGAAACCATGGATATGCATCATGCGCCTAGTTTTATGCGACATCCACTGCAAGACTCTATTTTCTTTTTTCCACAACAAGAGCACAGTGTGTTCAGTATGCGGTAAAGGAATGTATAGCTTATTTGCATATGTGTCGCTATGTTGCGCATCCCTTGTTGTATGGTATACATGTACAAAGACAATGCATAAACGAATAAAACCATTGACCCCTTGCTCTGCAAAACAACAATAGCAAAAATCGAACAACAACAACAAATGATGGATGCAAACAGAAACTAAAGTATATATTAAACAACTGAACAATTAAGTGTAAATAACTAAAATTATCTAGATAATAACAACTAATCATTATGTAATAGAAGCGAAAATTTTGGAAAATTCAAGAGCTTTGATTTGAAACAACAACAACAAGAAAAATGACAGTTGAAAATGCGCTGATTAAGCCATTGACTTGGAACCATACATAATTTTGAACTTCAACTGAAACACTCATCTCGGTCGAGATTTCCGTCACACAAACTCACAAATACATACACATACATTTGCATAACGCTAGCCTATACATATAGGTTCATAAGTACATTTTACTTGTGTCGTTTTCGAATTTTTCCTTTTATGATATGTTATTGTAGCCAAAACCTGCTCGACAGAACAATAGACAAGCTATTAAAAATGTGTAAACAATCGCAACCGTATTTTTTCTGTTCATTTTCTTCTTTCTTTCGTTTATTCGCTACATCGCTTGCCGTTCCATGGCACATGTCTTTCACAGGGGGACACATTCATAAGGAAACCAGAGAAGATAGAAAAAAAACCGTTTACATGAAATCCAATTGCATTTATAGATTTTGTAGAGTCTTCCTTTCGTTTCGATCTTATAGTTAGGGTTGTTATGTTTAGCTGGACAGAAAAAAATTGAAATAAATGAAAACAATTTTTTGTTCTCGAAAAATAAAAATGATAGTGAAGGAATATTTGTTTGAAAGCAATTAAAGAAAATGGAGTAATCAAACAAATCGCAAATCAAATACACACACACACAAAATGAAGAAACAAATAGTTGTTGAGATGGTGCGTCTCTCTCAGGTAATAAAAAAAAAACAAAGCAAACATTTGTTTAAATAGGAAAGGAGAAAGAGTTCAAATAATTTTGCTTGTGCATTTAGTTCTCTTTTTTCGCTGTCAAATCGATTCTTCGAAATTGTGATTATCTTCTGTAAATTGAATACTTCTCTCACTCTCTCTCTCGCTCACTCTCCAACCATCTATCTTCCTTTTTTTCGCTCTGCAAAAATTACCAATTGATTCACATAGAAAAAAAAAAAAAACCGCGCGGTTCAACATTGGGCAAATGTTCGATTTCTTACAAGCTGCCAAATTGAAAATTGACAAAGCTCTATTGGACAACATACAAAAAAAAATTATTAAATTGAAACAAAAAAAGAGTAATAATAGTAATAGACAGCAAACAAACCATGCACCAAGTCTCAGTTCTAGTGACAAATTATTTAGTTGCACCGACAAAAAAAAGTAAATGTATAGATTTGTTGTTTATATAAATCGTTAAAGTATATTTAGCAAAGGAAAACCGAAAACATTTTGTATGACAAGGAGTAAACAAAAAGGAGATTATCGAATTTGATATAGATATGACGCATGGCCATTTAAAATCTATGCATTCATCTTACTTCCATTTCAAAGAAGATTGTTGAAGAGCCAAACCAAAACCACATATTTTAATTCGATCCTTAAATTTCACTGTGTTTCAACACCCTACTTTAATTTCAAGGCATTGTTGATTTCGACATATTTTTGATGTAGAATGGCTTCTTTCGCTTTATTTCATTGGCTATGGAATTTTCATAAGAGACACCTCTTTTGGCAGATTTTGATTTGGAAAGATTTAAAAAAAAAATGATTTAAATTGATATTCCAAACAATTGATATGCTCATCATATTTCTTGCCATTTTTGTGTAGAAATAACGAATCTCTTTTGAAATATTACGGTAGTCATCAGCTTCACTTGCACAGTTTCAACAACAAATAGCACGAATATACGAAAATGGACCGTATTTTGCTTTTAGCAGCTTCCATTCATTTTTTTGTTTGTTTCGGATTTCATCAACAATGACCAACCATCTTGATACTAATCAGTAATCATTCACCATCTCTTGCTCTCTCTCTATCTCTCCCACTCTCGCTCTCAATATCCCAAAAAATAACACAACCACATTTACAACTCTATTCTATACTATACCGACTATAATCAAGTCTATTTTTATCGACAAAACCAACCACATAACATTATAAACGAAACTTTTCCTAAAAAACTAAAAGCAAAATAAAAAAAAAATCATCAATATAAAACACATTAAATATTATCCTCTCGCCGCCTCCCCCTCACCCTTCAACCATTCCAATTAAAAACTACTACTTGTAGAGGAGATTGAATTGTCCCATTCAACGAATTACCATCTAGAAAATAGAAAAATAAAATTTTGGAAAAAAAAAACTATACTAAAGAAAATTTGATCTGCAAAATATTCCAAAGTGTGAACATTTTGTTGCGAACAAAATTTTCGGGTTTGCAAATGAGAATTTAGAACATACATGTAATGATGCACTATTATATTTACAAAACAAAAATGAGGCAAACAAAACAAACTAAGAAAAAAAAAAGATTATTGTTAATTCAAATGCATTTGTTGTTCGTGTTTTATTATCATTTTTGCCCATGATATCATTGTTTACTTGGTAATATTTAAAAAAAAATGGTAAAAAAGAGACATTCAAGAATTTTTGTATCCGTAATACGGATTTCCATATCGTTCATTTGCTTAAAGAATTTTATTTAAAACAAATCCCGCAGACGAAAAGGTAGAATTCAAAAATGAAGTCAGTCACATTTTTTATTTCTATTACTGAGATCTGTTGAGAAAAGAGAAGAGACAGAGCTCAATATTGGATCATTTCTTATCAAGTTTTCATTGCATTTAATTTATATGTCGGCAGCTTCAATTTGATCGCCTATTTTACATGACACTTTAATTTGCTGTTTTTAGTTGTCATTTTTTTGTCTTTTTTGAATCGATGTGTTCATATAATCGAGAGAAAATAAAGAAAATAATTTAAACAAACATAATGAAAAACTAAAAAGAAGAAAACAAGTTTTTGATGTGTTTTTAAGATTAAATTCTATATGTCTGTTGCATATTTTACCAATAATCCAAGGAATCTGATGAACAAAATAAACACACACACATACACTAACGCAGTCACTCACACTCACATCATTTCCACAAATTATTGTTGTCTAGAAGAAAGAAAAAATGAAGAAAAAGAAAAAAATCACTCGAAAACCAAATCATTTTTGAAGATTATTATGAATTGACTTGGAAGCTGGGCATTTTATGTGAAACCCAGATGACGACGACGACGACAAAGAAGCAGAAGGAAACAAAATACTTTTAAAATCCATTTTATTGTAACACAAAGTGAACTAACCTTAATAAAAAAAAAACACACACAGAAACATACACAAACAAGAAAAAAACAGCAACAGAAACACACAAAAATACGATCAATGTCAAATATGCATGGAAAGATACGCGACCAAATGCAAACAAATTCTTCATCAAAAATCAAATAAAATTCCCATGCGGTACCCACGACTATTACTCAATCCATACACATTTTAGAACAAGGGAAACAAACACCATTTTACCAACACACATTACAACAGAATCTGTATACGCGGTCGCTACTCACGTGCACATTTGACAATGACCAACCACTCAGAAACTTAATTAATTAAATGATGAATAACAGAAGAAAAAAATAAACGAATTGTAAAATTGTATTTAAAATTAATGCATATTATCATAATACATATTATATGAAGAAGTGTAAATTATTCTTGAAAATAAACAACTATGAAATATATTTAAAAACCGAAAGATGAAAGAAAAACATGTGAGAAATAAATAAATAATTGAAACTAAATATCTGTGCGACATTTATTTTCTTCTCTTCTCGATCTCTTTCACTATCGCTCTAACGAATTGCTTTTGTCTTTCAGGAGCTTCTTTTATTTTCTTTCTAAAAATTCCAATTTGAAGTATTGAAAGAAAGTTTCTTAGATGAAAACAACGATGAGCATCACCATCTTTTCTTAATTATAATTGTACCGTTTTCCTTAGTCATTAGAATAAAATCGGCCCATTTTTGTTAAATTTCTTGATTTTTCAAGGAGATGTATTTTATTTTCAAACATAAAATGCGATTCGGTCAACAGTTTTGCTCAAAATGTTTCTATCTATTCGGTAAATTGAATCAAATGAATTGTCATAATGAATATCTTTATTGTCTTCGATCTGCTTGGTTTCACTCGGCCCGGCCGTACCATCAAACATCTGTAAAAATGCAATAAAACAATACAATCAAAACAATCGATGTTGAATAACCCTTTGACGTTGCAAATTTCGAACAGTAAACATAATATTCAGCTCATATTTGACCAATTGGTGAATTTTTAGTGCATTTTGTACGTAAATAAACCAGCTGGACAAAATCACGTTAAATGATTTCTATCATTATTATTGTAACTTGAAAAAAAAAAATCTATCGACAAATAAATCAATCGAATCTCACCGGAGTCGGAGTCACTCGATGGGAAGAATTTTTCGTTGGACACATTCATTGTCGATGTTACGTTATCGATGTTCCCGTCCAAAGTCACATTGTTGGCCGGTTGCCGTGGTGCTTCTGGTGTATCAACACGTTGAAGATTCAATGCAAACGTTCGTTTGTGATTGGTGTTCTGTTCGGTGGCCTCCACAAGATCGTCAATATCAATGTGCGGATTGATGCCATCAAAACCGTTCAATTTCAAAAACCTTGCTGCTTTGACAAATTCACCAAGACTGTAGGGGAGCAAAAGTTCAGAAAAAAAGTTCAGAAATGAGCAAATATGAACATAGTCCGCGGACAAAATTTGGTAAGAACAATCCATCATTTCATTCCTGAATGGCATTCATTTTTTCTATTCATCGACATACCTGGACGGCGTCATCTGCACCATACCACCATAAATCAATGCAAAAATCTTCAGCACGACATCGGAACGAATGTTTGATAAGCAAACGGCTGCACAACCAAAACAAAAACAACAACAACAAATCATTAAAACATAACCTCTTTCCACCTCATTTCAATTGCGCCGTGCATGTTTGTGTGTACTTACTGATGTGGCCGGGATTTTTGTTTCGCTTGAAAATGTCACGGAAATACGTGGAGCACATGGCCAGCAAAATGCGATGACTTTTGATCTCTTGGCCATCCTCGGTGGTGATAGTCACATCACTGTATTCGTCACTGTTGAAAAATTGCCACAAATCGGCCACAAAACTTTCACCAAATTGTTTCCATTCGATGGTCACTTGTTCTGCGTCCATGTTCACGTCCATCTTGCTGCTGTTGCTAAAATACGATTCGTACTAAAAAAAAAATGCGATGTGCTTATGCTGCAACTGACACACAAACCAAATGAAACGCTAATGACAACGAACAGCAGAGAGAGAGAAGAAGAAGAAAAAAACACTCGCATCACCTAACGGTATTATTTGATTGCACCGGCTGTCACAGTGTGGTTGGCATATGCGATCGGTTTGGTGAAGTGTGAAATGTCATATTTTTTTGGTGGGAAATCGAATCTGCCATTATATTTTCAATTCCAATTAATTTACATTGTTAAAACTATCGAAACCAAAATTGCTACATGTTAAAAAGTGTGAGTGTTTGTTAAAATTCGGCATTTGTCTATCCTAATGACTAGTTAGTTTAAGTTTACAGAACAAAATCCGAATATCATATCAGTTTTGTGTGCATATTTCCATTCGTATGTAAACCGTATGATATTGTCTAATCAATTTGTGTGTTGCCAATTCGATGATAGCTATTGACAATGCTGCGAGCACAAAAGATAAATGGTGATGTGGCTGCAAAGAGCATTCCAAATGCCAGCCACGGTCGAAACAGTAGCCAGCACAGTGCGATAATAATGATGGCAAGAGAGAATGATACCAGCACATTTCCATACAACGGCTGCTGTGGATTCGGTAGCACGATGGCAAACAATCGAATATCGCCCAGTACCACCGTTAATAGGTCCGTTGTGCATGTAGCGGCAAAAAATAGTAGCACCCAACCAATGAACCGTAATGCCCATGCATGTAATTTACGTTCGTAATGTGCCGCAACGAATGACTCTTCAATGGTATGACGTCCGGGCAACAGAATCAGAACCGTTGAATTTATACTCGTGACATACGGCACCAACAGACCATTTTCATACTTTGCCACTATTGTGTACTGAAATAAAAGAGAAAAACGTTCAATTTTATTTTCAAACGAAAAAAAGAAATGCAATGAACCGATCGAGACACATACAAAGCTGCCTTCAATTCCAGCCGTAAGGAATTGCAAGCGAATATCGCCGATTTCAGGGCTGAACACGTCGTTGCAGTGATAATAGAGGCCCGAATGTAATTTTATAGCCGGATCTTCGGGTCGAGTGTCTGATGTAATTTCGATGTAATTGTTGATTTTTGCTTTGGCTTCGGCACCCAACTCATAATGTCCAATCAACACATGATTGGCCGTTTGAATGCGATTCTTGATTGGGAATTCCTTTGGATTCTCATGACCGAGTCGCATGTGAAACAGCGACGAATCAATCACCTTATCTCGCCAATCTTGTGTATAATAATAAGTTTTCTGATCCGAATTGATTATATCAATACTTTGGCCATACACCGATTCACTGCGATAGACAAATTTGCAACAGAATTAATATCCAATTGTGAAATAGCTTAAAAGAATTTGCACAGTAACTAACGTTTCTTCTTCAACCCATTGATACATTTGAACACGCCTCTTCAGTTTAACCGCCTGCACTTGGATATTGTAGTCGGGTTCGGTAAGCGGTTCATCGGTGTACAATTGTGCTATAATATGTAAAAGCTGGCCACTGGCGGCTTTCATGCGATTTTCGTCGATTTTTACTGTTTTTACATTCGACAGCGCCTCATCCAATGAAACTATTTTACGTGCTGTTTGTCGCTAAAGGCCCGGGAAGAAAAAAGAGTTCAGAAAAAAAACGAGCAAAATATAAGCATAGTCCATGCGGACAAAAATTGCTAAGAATAACCCATAATTTGTTTTTTTTGTTTTTTGAATGGCATTCTCTTGTTCAATTCTTCGTCATACCTCATTATTAAGTAACACAAAAACACCGGCTATCGAAAGAATCAGACCAAATACGATGATGAGCCATGACTTTCGGAAATGGTCTATGAAGAGATTTCTTCGCTCAACAAGCGAAACGTACGGTATTCGCCGGTCCATTTTTCCTCCTCTTCTTCTGTCTCTTTTCAGAATCGTCTCATCGATTCATCCACGTCCATCAGCCGAAGCACACACGATTCGCAAAACAAATTTATTTACAGGAACGCAGGAAAAAAAAAAACTATTTCATTAGATAAACATTCGGAATCAGAAATATCTCGAATACAGATTATACGTTGTTTACTATCATTATCGCAAGCAAATGTCATATTAGTGTGAGAAACGTCATCGTCAAGAATGAGTGCGTTTCGTGCTTGCGCATGAAATATATTTAGAAATTGGTATGCAGTAACAAACAAGCGGTTCGGTTGAACGTCGTTTGTCAATCTCTGTTTCTTCATGGATGGTTGCAAATCTCAATGTTCATTTGCTATCGATTGCCAATTTGCCCTCTCAATCAACAAAAAATAAAATCTATACTCATTCATTTTCATATTTCTTCTCGGCTACGATTTCATTTTGATGGGTCGTTGCGTACAAATATGACCACTTTTTTTTGTCAATGCATTAGAATTGCAGAAATCGTATGATCCAAGAGAGAGAGAGAGAGAAAAAATCATAGACTAAACTGAGCGACAGAAGAAAAAAATCCGGTTTTTTCTTTTGCCGTTTCAAGACTTGATTCGTACCTATGCCGTACAATGATGACCCAAAAGCAAATATCTACGCAATTCCATCGGATTGCTGACGATTTCTGTTGTGATGCTATGACGTAATTCGGTAAATTGAACAGGTTTCGATTGATCGTCATCATACGTGAATACTAGATAATCTATTTTTACCTGCCCCGTTCAATTTGTTTACTGTTTTTCAATTGCTATTGTTGCTGCCGATTTTTTTTTCTGTTCAAAATTTTCCCCATACAATTGGTTTGTATTTAAATGTTGACCAACCGATTAGAATGATTCAAATGATTTGTAGCCGTCGTGAAAGAGAGAGTGTGTTTTTCAGATTGCAAAGCAGCAAAAAAGGGGAAAAAAAAGAAATTTTCCAATCATCATTGCGTTTATCATCGCATAGAGCCAAGCGGCCAGAGTGAGAGAGCGAAATTTCATTTCATCGGTCGAGTACACGTTTTCCCGATCAGGCGATCAATTTTTATCAGTTGCTTTCTCCCTTCCTGTTCGCATATGTTTGCGAAGCAAAGAAAAAAGACGGAGTCGACACGAAGAGCCACTTGAAAAAAAAATAGCGTTGCTGAGACTGTCCAATTACCGCATACAATCTAGAATTCAAGCTGTAAGTGATAATTTCTACACTGTATCATTTCAGTTTGTTTCTCGAAAACTGCACGCACAACAATTACATCTCGGGTTTGTTTGTTTTTGCTGCGGAATAATTTGTCGTTTTACAGTTGCTATTTAGTGATTTTGACATTTGATTGGTTTTTTTTCTGCCTTGGCTTTTTAACTTTTAACAGTTAGAATTTTTTTTCTCTTGCATTTTTTTTTACAATATTTGTTTTATGATTGCTGCTGTGAAAATTGTAGTGTGAAAAAAAATCCCTGAATTAATAATCCCACGAATAAATGATCTATTGATATTTGATTGTAAGAATTTTCAAATTAAAACACTTTTTTTTCTCTCTCTGTCTCTGTGTCTCTATCTCACCTCCTTAGTTTTAATCTAGCGCATTGCATGAATTGAACTGGTGCTCACGGAGAGTAGGGGCAAAACTGACCAAAAAAAGAGATTTGCGTGAAACTGGTTGAGATACAATAATTAGCAGCAATCAAAGCAAAACTATCAACCGTTATCAAAGCAAAACCGTGGAACAGATGTGCGGCAATCGAATTATATGTAATGTGAGCAGCGGCAGCAGCAACAACAAAAAAATAACAAATCCCTACTCGCTACTTGTGACACATTCTTCTTGCGTGTGTGATTATATATGAAGCACGATACGCGGCTGAACAGTAACGGCACGAAAAAAGAGAAAAAGAAGAAGAAGGCGTAGAAAAAAAATCACAAATCATTGCAAACCGAATGTGAAATTGTTGTGTTTCAATTTGAATTTAGTCGGTGAAACGAATGAGTCTGACAATGATCGTATTTTTCATGCGCTGAGAGCTATCGTCCACTGTTCCCGTACCCGAATTTTTTTTTCTGACAACCATCATAACGACGGTTAACACACGAATTGAAAAAAAAACGAACAATAAAACGTGCGACCGCCAAACGCGCTAAAAAAAAGTTTCAGTGAAAATAAATCAGTTGAACATTGTATGCTTACACGCTTTAGTTTTTTCTCTTCAAATTCTGAACTCAATTCATGAAGTGAATGTGCGTTATTTTTAGTCACTTTGTTTGAAATTTGTATCGAGTTGTGAACAACGACCGCCGACCATCAAAGTAACGCACGTGATAAACGAATGAGAGGGAAAAAAACCGAAGAAAATGATATGAAAGTGTGAACAGAGTGAGAGAAAAGTAAAACCGATTGAATAACATTTTTGTTTTCTTCGACGGAAAATTGAATGATTTAATGCACTCAAATCGGCGGCGATAAGATTGAATTCAACGATAAGGTTTCACCGACTGCAGAAAAACGCGAAGTGACTCGCTCTCATTCATTAGAAGTTCGTGTGGCAACGGAAAAAGTTCGCGTCAATAGAGCAAGACTATCATCGCACATAGAACGCCATACTGTGTCAAACCCCGAAGCAAACGATCGACCATTTGCTCAATCAACGAAAAGAAGGCTTGTTTTCAATTGAATCAGCTGATTCGTACGGTTTAATTTTGGTCGTCTACCGTTGGAATTTCATGAAAATATTGAATAGTGGATAAAAATACCCGTGCATCTAATGAAATAAACATACACACGCACACACACGCTTTACATTGTATGCATTATTATTTTCGTGTTTGTGCGCGCAGTGCAGTGTTTTTGTTTTGCTTTCGAGTTGCAGCCGCGTGCCGAGAAAGAGATTTTGTAAACACTTCCTATTTACTAAGAAGCAAGTTTATGGTTTGATATTTTATATTTTTCATATTGTTTGTCATACAAACAGAGAGAGACAGAGAGGCACATACACTCACATATCGTACTCAGGCCGATGCCGCCGTGTGATGTTTATTTGTCGCTGCATAAATCAGTTTGATGCGAAAGATTTAACATAAAACACAGTGGTGTACCTGCTGCCCTGATTAGTGAACGGCAATCGTACGATAAATTTAACAGCTCAATTAGATCGAGTATCGAGTGCATCAGGAGTTTAGAATCATACACACGCGCCGAATTGATTCTGAGCAATAATTTTAGTGTTTTTGAAAAAGAAGTAGAAAAACAGTCGTAATAGACAAGAAAAACAAACGGGCAAAGCAAGGAGGCAATATATACCGAACGACGAATGAAATAAAGAAATAATTGACGCAATGAATATGTAAAACATGACTGACGAGCACAACTGAATTATACTGAACTTGGATCCATCCGCGTATCGCTTTGCGCGACAAACTGTGAGAACTTACAGCAATAATTTGCAAGAAAACTGTAATTCAACAATTAGTCTATTAAAAGTCGCAATTGCAAACTGAATTGATCGAAGGAGAGAAAAATAATACCGATATATTAGTTTGAAATTTGTATGGAATAGAAAAATAATAGCAAGAGTCACAACGTCAGTGTTTGATTACGAGATTTGTTTATATTGTCATCGAGAAAGAGAAAACCGACGAAGTTTACCCAAGAAAGAAAGAAAAAAACAACAACAAACAGTGAAGAAGAAAAGACCTTGACCAATCATTACATAAAATTGTGAGTGAAAAAAAGTGAAAAACACGGTCACATACAGTTGAAGGTGGCGATTTCTCTCTTTGACACTCTGCTTCACTTTTTATTATCATCATTATTTATTTATTCATCTCTCAACGACACACCGCAACGAAAAACGACGTTCCATCGATTGTCTGCAGCGTGGTATCTATTGTATATGCCAACGATTTCCAAATAAATTTGTGTAAATATTTTATGAAATAGCGCCGCATCACGTAATAGTTCGTTGTGCATGCAGCGTCGACCCATTAATAAAATAGACCATAATAAGAAGTGAGCATATTTGAAAGAAAAACGCGTGAAGCCTATAGAGGAAACAACATTTAAAAAAAAAAACGCCCAAAAAGAAGAAGAAAAAAACGACGAAGAAGCAGCCGAAAAAAAAACCGAAAGTATGGATTCAATCACAACAACCAATACCATTTCACTGAACTGCGACATTGAAATATCAAACAAAGTGTTGAGCCTCCATGCGAAGCATTTCACGCGACATCACGAAAATCCGCCGCACCACAACAAATATGAACTCATATCGAAAAGGTACTTGGCATTCGGCCGGAATGACGTACAAAAAATCACATGCACACTTCCTTGTAGTTCTAGCATACATTTCGAAAACAGATTCATTTTCAAGCGAAAAAAAAATCGTCACCAACATCAAAAGCAACAATTCTAAACAAATTCATTTTTTTGTTCGTTTTGGTTTTGATTCAAATGTAGAGAAGAAAAAGAAGTCTGAATTTGTTGCTTTAAACGAAGTCAGTGGCATAAACATACACACGAAAAACGCGCGCTGAACCAACGAAACCAGGAAAATACGCATTTTGTAAACAAATTGCTTGCGACTCGAATCAAGCATATCAATGCTCAAGTTGTAAATAAATAAATAAAGAACGAATGCAAGCGCTGTAATGCTTGTAATGTGCAATTTTTGCTTCACTTTCTGTCTTTTGCTCTCGCTCTGGTCTGTGTGTATGAATGTGTTTGGTGGCCATCACTTAACTAAATGCCTTAGCAAATTTAAAAGTCAAGTGAAAAAACAGAAAAAAAAAAACGAATTACGTTAGAATTCTAGTTGGTTTGCGTGTGGTTTGACATACAGCTATTTTTGCAATTTAAATTTCGTTTTTTTTTCTTTCATCATTTTCATATTGTTTCAATGGTTGTGTTATTGTTTTTTCTTCTATTTTATTTTTGTTTGCAGTTGTCAAGATCGAATCAGTTCCTTAGTTAACATTGCCATAGACCTAATATCCTATTTAATAAATTTATGTGCATCATTTGGCTGGCAAACGAAGCACACGATCTACTGTGTGAAGTTCATACGGTTGAACCAGCGTGCTGTGGTGGAGCATTTTAAAAGCATTCGACTGATCGAACACATTAAATCAATTGGCTACAATGTGGTGAAAAATGGTACATTCTTTTTTTTCTCTTTTTTTTTATTTCTCAATATGATTTGACATTTATGATTATGATTATCAAATTCAAAATGGCTTTCGCTTTTCATTTTCTCTCCGTTAGCCCAATTCAAACTATATCCAATCGTCCAAATGATAAGGCGGAAGAGCTATTTCGACGACAATGACTGTAACAATGATTGTAACAATGTCTGTAAAAATGCAATTACGTACGAAAGCACCAACGAAACCAATAACAATAGCAACAGTGGCAACATTAAAACCACACAAAACGATGACGCGGACGAGATAGATAATGTTTCGTTGGAAATTTTGTGGGAACCAAAATGTGGCACTCGTATCACAGCTGATGTTGTTTTCATTCATGGTTTACATGGTACGTATATACCGATGCTGACAACAATGTGCTACGCATGTGTGCGTGTGTTTGTCTGTGTATGTGTCTGCTGTGTAATTGAATATGCATTTTATTAAAATACATATAATTTGCATCGGCTGCAATGATTCAAGCGAAACCAATTTATCAATAAATAAATAAATTCATTCAATTATCGTGCAGTACCATTTACATACGACTGCAACGAATTGACACGCACTTTGAAACCTTACACAATACATATCACACATATAATATGTGTTGCACTATAGGCCGAGAGAGAGAGAGAGAGAGAGAGAGAGAGAGAGAGAGAGAGAGAGAGAGAGAGAGAAAGAGAGATAGGTGGTCCCTCGCTCATTTTCTTTCTTTATGTCTCAATTTACATATAATTATATGTGCGGTAAAATGTTTTGACTGATTTTGGTTTTTCATTTTCATACCGTTAGGATCGAGTGACAGTACTTGGAAACAGGGCGAATGGGTGCATAAACCGCAAACCGCTAACGATAATCGCATCGAAATCATACATCATGAACATAATGCGGAACGTTCGAATCAGCATCTGGATACTCATCATCATTTACACACCGACCCCAAAGACGACAACGATGACCATTTGAATGCGTTCAATTCAAATCCGACTTTGGAATCGTTGTCACAATGTTGGCCTAGAGACTTTCTGCCTCAGGACTTTCCGACGGCTCGCATCTGTGCGATCAACTACGACACAGATCCCCATCTATGGCGTCCTATATGGTATAAATCACAAAAGCGTTCGAGCTTAGCCATTCGAGCGATGAAAATGATTCGCATACTAGTCGAACACAATATTGGCGTTAATCGGCCAATTATCTGGGTGGGCCACAGCAAAGGAGGTTTGTATATCAAGCAAATTATCGTCAATGCACACGAATGCAACGCATACTGGCTATGGAAATCGTCACGTGCTGTCCTTTTCTATTCCGTTCCTCATCGTGGGTCACCTTTAGCCGAACTCAACTTACCACTCCTAACACGTTCCATCGAAATGATTGAAATTCAAAAAAGTTAGTCATAATTGCGATGCAATTCGATTCCATGAAACAAATTTATGAAAATAAATTTATTCTCGTGAACAACAAAAAACTAAACCTCTCGCTATTTTTTCAGATTTTTCCACAATAATAGATTTGCATCGACGTTTCGTAGCATTGTGCCGCCGTGGAATTCTAAATATGGATGTGTTTAGCTTTATTGAAATGAAATTCACCGAATTATCTGTGTTCTATTTGCGAATCGTTGGCGTCGATTCCGGAGGTAATTGCCACTTGAATTTCAATCATTTCACTTGAACCATTAAAATTAAAAAAAAAAAACAAACAAACAAATCGTCATTTTCTCTTCCTCTAATTTTGCTTAGATCCCGGCATTGGTGGCGTCTGCACCGTTCCACTCGATCATTTAGATGTATGCAAACCACGTAATCGTCATTGCTTCCTCTATCGTCAACTGGCCAAAATGATCGAAAGTGCGATACATACACACACTCGTCCTATATTTAGATAAATAACATTCAAAATTTCCATAAGGTCAACCAAATTTTTGGAATGAGAATTTGTGTTTGTATCCATACGAAATCCGATGTTGAATAGATTTTGTTTAAGTTTCTCCGTTTTTAATTATGAAATAAGTGAAAAGTGCAAATCTTTGTAGAATAAGTGCCCAAAAGATGAAACAGAAAATAGCTTAGCAAAAATAAATTGTGTTATTTTGCCTCAGGAAATTCGTTGTTTCGATTTTTATTTCTAATCTCCGTCGTTGATTATTTCTTATCGCTCGTGCACGTGCACATGCACATACATTTTGTGTTCATCTAATATTTCGTTGTGGTTTCTTTTCTCCTTCTCTCTCTCTCTCTTTCACTCCAATCACAATTTTTTTTCCATGGAAATTACTTGTGACCGCAATATATTTATTGAGACATTATTCCACAAAACTGGTGACATCATTCGAATGGCCTGCAGCCAAACCATTTTGCATCAATCATTCGATTGATAGCATGAAACAATTGATTGATAGCTTCAATTGCATTTTTATGCAATTTCAATAAATTTTCCATTGAAATCACTTATTTTAATGATACGCGATGATTTCCGAAATTTTATTACATGCGACGACTGAATGACTCCTAATTTTTGCAATAGACCAAGACAAAAAAAAAACAATTCGGTTTCAAACGACGCTTTCAATCAAACGCACACACACACGCACACACATAATTGCTTCAGCAATTGTTGATTGAATTGGGACTGTATGATATGGATTTCTGATTGCCTCAAGCCGTGGGTCATACGGGTCAATATCGTGGTCAACAGAGATCCGTGTCCAGCAAACCGTATTGAAAATGTTTTGTTTTTTTTCTTTCTAGAAATTCTCATAAATCCTTCGGACGAAATCTTTTAAACATAAATGGTTGTGTTCAAAATGTGATATTTTAATTGTTCAATGGAATATTTGCTGAGCTACCCACATAAATGTTCAAACACAAATGCATTCGTATTTTTGAAAATGACGTTATAATCATATGAAAAAAAAACGCTAAGGCTATTCAATATTTTTTTTAACCTGAATTGGTGGTAAATTTGTGGGGAATTGTCCGTTTAGCCATCGAATATATCGTTCGATATATGCTTGAAAATATTTTTGTCTTTCGGCAATAAATCTTTGTTCAACTGGTTTGGTTCCAACCAAAGTTATGGTAAATTCCAAGATTTTCTCACCTCAAATTCAATAAAAAACCAATTAAGTGATGTTACGATGCAGAAATATTGTGTATGCGTCAATGTGAAAGTCTAAATGAATTTACCTATTGACTATGAACAGAGAATGTTTGATGTTTATTATCGGTGGATACGAAAATCATCGAGAAGTAACTATGAAAAATGTAGATGTCAAAAGGAATCATCACTTTATCAATCAACACTATTAATAGATACTATTTGATTGTGTCAAACAAAGTTGGAATATTCTGACTTTGTATTCACGTGGAGTGTCTTGAAGGAAAAAAATCGATCGTTCCGTGTTTTCTCTCGTTAAACGGTTCGCACGTGTTTGGTCTCGGCGCCAAACGATCAAATTGGAAGTGTGGAGAATGTCTCGTTAGAAAGTGGACCAGTTGGATTGATGGCTGCTGATTGATTGAGTGCAAGAATCCACGAGCTGTTGTTGTTGTGTTTTTGTTTTCAATTAAAAGTAATTCAATCAACATGTCAATGGCATAAGACCTTTGCTCAACCACAATAAGAACGAAAACAAAAAATCGCCCATAAAATTGGCTATACCCATTTTTGTGCAAAATAACCGCACACAGAAATGATAAGATCGAATCAAATCTTGGTTAAAAATTGTATGCATTTTATTTTGATTCATAGAGACCAAGCTAAACGGCTGTTGTCTTTATTTTTTCTGCTTCGCTCTCTCTCTCTCTCTCTCTCTCTCTCTCTCTCTTCGTCTGTTCAAGTGGCAATTTATCTTTCAAAGCAATAAGACACCAACATGGTTTTATACGCTTAGCACATTTAATCGGCAATTATAATCAGAAATTGTATTTCTCTCACGATTTAAAGCCCTACTCCTCTCGCATAAACATACAATTTCGGTGCTGCTGCCGCTTCTGTGTGTTTCATTTCAATTTCGTTATTTTTTTTTTCATTTCGAATATTTTGTTTTCTGCTACGTTATTTTTTTTCGTTTTTAAAATTCCAGCAACAGAAAACACTTTATTGGACAGAATAGCAATGGAAATAACACAGCAGTCTGGTTTGTTTGTTTCTTTCTTTTGGGGGGATAAAAGTCTCAACGACGACTTCGCATTTGAATCAGTACAGTCTTTCAAATTTTTTCGATACCAGAAGTGTACGTGCGTGTGAGTGTGTCGGTGCTTGTATGTGTGTACGTCTTGAAGTGCGTTTTCATTGAATGGTGTGCAAATCTCCCGTTTTTTCTCACTTTTTGAATAATTGCGTGCATAAAAAAGCGTGTACAGCATTGGAGTGCTGGCTAACTCTAAATCAGTTCCATTGTTCAAAGTGTGTTCATTAGACGCTAAATTTTCGTGCCGATATAATCTCTATCCAGTAGCTTGTTTGCTAGCGTGAAGAAAAAAACAACAGCATTTAAACCGATTATTTTCCGTTTGAACTGAATCGCAACGAAAGGTTCTCAATTCAAAGAAAAGATAAAAAAAGAAGTTATTACTGTGTTATTCGATTTTTTGTTGCATCACTTTGTGTAGAAGAAGCCATCAAACAAAATGCGATTTGTTATCGTAGCCATTTCATTTTTGGTAGATACCCTTTTTCGTTCTATTTTATTTCAATAATTTATTTATTGTTTTTTTTTTCTTCAAATTTTTGAAGAATATTCGTGAAAATGAATTTTAGTGCAAAATCGGTCTGTGCAAATTATTCACCAGCACGATTTTTATATTCATTGATTATAGATATCAGTGTACTGTGTACCGTATTATCAACAGCCGATTTTCGCGCCCGTGGTTCAACTCAACAATGGTAATACGATGCCGATCGTTGGCCTCGGAACATATTCCGTAAGTGGTGTATTTTACTAGCGAGTTCCACTCTGCCCGGAGTAATACGTCCTAATCGGTTTTCCTCTCTGTGTTGTATTCAATCCCGTTCGACTAGTCTTTAGGCGGACAATGCGAACAGGCAGTGAAAGATGCGATCGATGTCGGATATCGACATATTGATACGGCATATCTCTATGGAAATGAAAAAGAAGTGGGAAATGCAGTACGAGCGAAAATTGCAGAAGGTGTAATCCGTCGTGAGGACATTTTCATCACAACAAAAGTCAGTAGTAAATCTGTGTTAAACGGTTTCAATTTATCAATTAGTCAGTTTGAATAGAATAAGGATTTTAATGAGCGTAATCTTTTTACGATAAACTGAATGAACTTCTTGTGTCTTTCAAAGCTGTGGAACACTTTCCATGAGCCCGATCAGGTGCCGTTTGCTTTCCAGAAATCGCTTGATAATTTGGGATTGGGCTACATCGATTTGTTTTTAATGCATTCGCCGGAATCGTATCATCGCATAGCTAAAGCCGGTTTAACCCATGCTCCACAATCCATCGAAGATATCGAACTCTTTCCAAAGGATGCTAGCGGCCGAGTGCTGACGTCCAACGTTGATTTTATCGACACTTGGAAGGCGATGGAACAACTGATGAGTTCGGGCCTTGTTCGAAGTATCGGCGTATCAAACTTTGAAATTCCACAAATTCAACGACTCGAATCGGTTGCTCAAATCAAACCAGTTGTCAATCAAATTGAGTGTCATCCAAATAAAAACCAGCGTCCAACCATCGATTATTGCTCATCCCGTGGCATTGCAGTCACAGCATACTCTCCTCTTGGTAAGCCCCACGAGGCCCATGGCAAACAAATCGCTATAAAAGATCCGAATGTTCAAATTATTGCCGCACGGTACAACAAACAACCAGCCCAAGTCATTTTGCGCTATACGGTAAGTATTTTTGTTATCATATCGCTGTCACCCGTTGTATGCATCGCTCGTGTGTCTCTGTGTGTGCTTGTGTGCAATATCAAAAAAATACCTGTATTGAAATGGAATAATAATCGTGTGCCATGTCTTTTTTTTGCATCATTTATATGCGTAGGTCCAGAACGGCGCTTTAGTGATACCCAAATCGACGCACAAAGAACGGATCGCCGCCAATATTGACATTTTCGATTTCGAACTAGATGCCCACGAAATGGAATACCTGAACTCACTGAATGGCCAGTAAAATAATGCGCTTTATTATTATTTTTTATTCCTTTATTTCTTCGTCGCCGCGAAATGTCTTTTGTGTGAAAAAAACCAGCAAAATGTGAAACAGAAAAAAAACTCACGTAAAATTAAACGATACGAAACTTAATTAACGCTGTTGCTCTTGCTTTGGCTGCTATACAATATAGCAACGATGCTAACCGATTCCAAGCCAATATTATTATTATTATTAGTTGGTTTTCATTTTACAAAAATATAAATCGTTCGTAGCTTTTAGATTCTTTGTTTGCTAGAAACCGGTTTCCTTTTCCATTGTATCTTCGAACTTCATCTCTCTCTCTCTGTGTGTGTGTGTCTTCTTTTTTGCTGTTGTTCGTTTAAAATAAAAAATTTATGCAAATTTACTTGCAATAATCATAATCCAGCTTTGTTTTTATTATATCTCTTGTTTTGTTTTAAATGCTTTTCACAAATTAAACGAAAACCTCGGAATTATAGTAGCTTTTTTTCTGTTTTTAATTTTTTTCAAAATATTTTCTTGATCTCACATTTAGTAATTGTTCAAATAAATTGAATGTTCTATCTATTCGTTGAGCATATACGAGAAGAAAAAGAAGAAGAAGGAAACAACACCGAGTGGCAGTGAGCATCAAGGTAGCCGTCATGGGCCGGCTGCTTGTTTCTTTCTTCGCTTGTTGCTCTTCTTTTTTAGCAAAGTGATAAAAAGACGCAATCGAGAAAAAGACACATCAGTCTAGGTCGGTGATTATCGGCGAATAGAAGTACACAGAGTGCAATTTCATTGTGATTGAAATTTTATTTTTCTGATTTTATTCTGTTTTTTCTTTCGTTTGCTTTTTGAATGCTACAATGCGTCTGATAAGCGTGACTATTGGAATTTTGGTGAGTTGATTTGATTTCATGTTAGTTTTATGTTGTTGTTGTTATTGTTTCAATTTGCGTGAATTTTGAATAAAACAGTTGGTATTTTTGTTACATATTTTCAACAAAAGGCATTAATTGTCTGTACCACAGCAAAACTTGCTCCAACCATTCGATTGAGCAGTGGCTATGATATACCTGTCATTGGACTGGGAACGTTTGAGGTAAGAAAATTATTTTAACGATTTCGAGTTTGGGAAATGAATTTAAACAATGAAGTTGTTTCAAATTTTCATCAGTCAACACCAAGGCGATGTTGATAGATGATTTTTACAACAAAGTTATGAATTTTATTGAAAAAATGAAAAAAAACAATTTGGTCTATTTTATTTTTCCAGTCTACAGCAGGCGATGCGGAACAAGCTGTTAAAGATGCAATTGACGCTGGATACCGCCACATTGATACCGCATTTTTATACGGTGAGTGTGTGCCCATCGTGTTCTATCGAACCATCATTATTGTCAATGATCTCCAATGCTCTGTAATTCATTCACCCGGCATATTCGATTGATTAAATTCGACAAAACTCATGCATTATCCCACTCTCACATACAAACCACTTACTCTAATTCCATTTTTCGATGCAGGAAACGAAGTGGAAGTGGGAAATGCAATCAGGGCGAAAATCGACGAGGGAGTAATCAAGCGCGAAGACATTTTCATAACTACAAAGGTAAAAACATTGACTCATTTCAAATAAAGCGATTGAAATAAAATAATCTGGAAAATCATCAAAATAAACATTTAAACGAAAAGTCAAAAAAAAGAAAAATGAAAAAATCAACATTTCTACAGTCATAATTGAATTCCTCTTTATTTAGTTGTGGAGCACCTTTCATGAGCCAGAACAAGTGGAAAAGGCATTCCAACGATCATTCGATAATTTAAATTTGGGCTACATTGATTTGTATTTAATACATTATCCAGTGTCTTATCGTCGTGTTCTACAAAATATTCGTTTGCCCTCGGATGATGTGAATGCATTCTACGTTTTCCCAGTTGATAAAGATGGTAAAACTGGTGTTCGATGCACATCTTTGATTTTTAATCGGCCTGATCTTTTCTTAACGCTTTTAGTAGAAAATCTGTTCTTGAAAACGCCAAAAATGCTATGTAACTAACAGTATTTTTCTATTTCTCTCTACCCAACCCTCTTTCTCTCTTTATTACTCTCTATCTCTATCTTTATCTCTCACTCTCCTTTTCTTCTCACTATTCGTTTAATTAAACTTGGTCATAATGAGTTCGGATCTATTACACACCGCAGGTAAAAGTCAAACAACTGACGTGGATTATGTGGACACATGGCTGGCAATGGAAAAGCTCGTACAAAGTGGTCGTGTGCGTAGCATTGGCATATCGAATTTTAATAGTGTGCAAACGGATCGAATTTTGTCAATAGCAACCATAAAGCCGGTGACAAATCAAATCGAATGTCACCCAAATCTCAATCAACGCAAATTGATCAATTTCAGTGGACAGCGTAACATCACAATTACAGCATATTCGCCGTTAGGTCGACCTCATACACAAAGTGGCAAGAAATTGGCTATTTCGGATCCAAAGGTCTTGGAATTGGCACAAAAGTACCGAAAGACACCAGCTCAAGTAGTTTTACGTTATACGGTACGCAAACGTTTTTACAAACATGTACTTTAGTGTCGAATTCATCAACAACTTTGTTTGTATCATTTGTCTCATTTGTCGTTTCGGAAAATTTGAATTGAAACAGAAGAGAGAGAAAAAATGTGATTGTAACCTTTTTTTCTCCCCAATTTTAGCTACAAAATGGAGCCATCATTATACCCAAATCCACTAATAAGAATCGCATACAAGAGAACTTCAACATTTTCGACTTCGAGCTGAGCGATACTGACATGCAAATCATGCACGATCTGAATAATAATTATCGTCTAATTAACTTTGAAAGCGACAAAGACAATAAAAACTATCCGTTCAACATAGATTTTTAGGTTCGGAACGTGAGCCGCGCGACTTTGCCGTTCAGTCATGAGTTGAATGCTGCGTACATAGTCTTTATTTTTGGTTTTTCTTTCCTCCACACACACACACACACACACACACGTCCATACATCAAATTGAGTATCGCATATTTTTTTCAGAATTGATTGAAATGCACACGTGTATTAAATGTGGGAACAGGTTTAATTTCTTCATCGGTCGCGCAAATACATTCAACCGTTTAGTATTTTTTTTTGTATGTTAGGTAACTTTTTTGGCTTCAATCAATAAACTACTTTTTTGAAAAAAAAAAACTTTCTACGCCAATATTTGGTTGTGTTTTTTTTCTTCTGCTGTCACTCCGTTCTGTGAGCTTAATAAAAAATCTTTTAGACAATATTCAAATTTCGGATTGAAAAGGGGAATGAATGAAATAATGATTTCGGTTGCTGTTGTTTTTGTTGTTGTTGTTGTTGTTATTCAATCCACATTATGTAATATTGTTTATACGTTGATCAATATTGGCTTAACATTTATCCCTCGTTCACATTTGACGATCAACATCAGTTCGGCTCACCGTTATACATTAATGGCAAATGGGCTCATACCAAATCCGTTCATGTGGTCACGCCGATTTAATCACATTCACATTACATTACAGTGCAACAATTATATGGCATTCTCTAGACTCGAATTTAGTGTTTTTTCTTCTTCTTTAGGTTTGACTTTTTTGTATGATGTTAAAAAAAACTCCGACTTTAAAATTGTATTCCAATTGCAGTATCAACAGAAGCATAATAACTCAAACTGAGGCGCTATGAAACTATACATTTTTTACCTCTGTGATGTTGACCAAGTGCTTGGTATAAGTTAATTATAATAATTGTGCTTGAAATAATGACTTATCGTAATTTCGAAGAAATTGTTTAAGAAATGTGTGCGAAGCCAAAGAACCTTCCCCATTTTAAAAGTTTTTCTACACTATTTTTTACACATCGTCTCCACTTGCATTTAGTTTCCATTACATTAGATACACTTTGACCGTTGAAATCCAATGGAAGTGGAGAATAGTTGAAAGCTGCCGCTTATTCTTTGATCATCAGCCGGTCATTTGATTGAATATTTACTGAATGAAATGAAAAAATAAAATACGAAATAAACTTCAGTTCAAAAAGCCAACAATCGCACAAAGCCAAGACAACAACAATTTTCTTGTTTTATAAAATCTCAAACCTGTTTGGAAGAGATTTTGTGATTTCGGTGAAAATCAAATTTGCCATATCAAATGCGCGCGCTCGATTGTGACAGCACAGCATCAAAGTAATTGGTGTGCACACTTTGTATTCTATCGCTTTGTGCGTTAGTCGTGCGCTCTACTCTTCCAGAGCAGCAACATTGAAATAGCAAATCGTGTTACGTCTAAACGACCAGCGGTTGACCTTCAGTCATTTGCTGTGTGTTGTGCTTCAACGCGAGTTTTGTTGAAAAGTTATCGCTTCGTTCGGTGTGTGCGTGTATGTTCTTTTTTAATCGATTGTAAATTTTTAAGTACTTCGAAAAATGCTCTACCGACAAATATATCCGGGTCATTGGCTGCTGATGATCATCATCTCAGCCACGCTATCGAATGTAAGACACCTATTTTTGTTTGTAAATAAAATTATGAAAATATTTTGATCGAAAATCCAGTGATTATAGTTATTCGTTGATTTGTAGTTTTTCATCGCTGCTGATAAACCCATATTTGCGCCAACGATTCAGTTGAACGACGGACATTTGATTCCAGCACTTGGGCTCGGCACAAATCAGGTACCATATCTCATCAGGTGTATGTTGTGTATCGGATGTTCAGATTCTGTTTTTGTTTTTCATTTGGTTGACAACGTTTTTGGCCGAACGTAGGTGAAAACTGCAGAGGGTGAACAAGCTGTTAAAGATGCTATTGATATTGGATACCGTCACATTGATACTGCATATTTGTAATTACATTGATTTAAAATATTCGGACGAAATAGAATCGGCTAATCATCTTGTTTATTTTTCTAGGTATGGCAACGAAAAAGAGGTGGGCAACGCCATTCGAGCCAAAATTGCCGAGGGTGTTATCAAGCGCGAGGATATTTACGTTACGACCAAGGTATGATGAATGGTTTTGCTTGTGATTTTAGTCAGACTCTTTCTCTCTCGATTATGAAATCCGAAATTGAAACTATATCATCAACAGCTTTGGAACACATTCCATGAACCGGCCATCGTTGCAAAAGCATTCCAAAAATCGCTTTACAATTTGAACATCAGCTATGTCGATTTGTACTTGATACATTTTCCAGTTGGCTATCAACGTATCAGCAAAACAACCAATTTGACGGCTAAAGAGATTGATGATGTTCAAATTGATGATATCAATCCATTCCCGCATGATGCAGATGGAAAATCACTCGCTACAAACGTAGATTACTTGGACACGTACAGAGCCATGGAAGATTTGGTGAAAACTGGATTAGTGCGTAGTTTGGGTGTATCGAATTTCAATAGTCAACAATTGGATCGTTTGATATCAGCGGCGAACATTAAACCGGTTGTCAACCAAGTGGAGTGTCATCCAAATCTCAATCAAAACAAGCTCATTGCATTTGCCAAAGCAAGAAATGTAACAATCGTAGGGTATTCACCCTTGGGCCGTCCAAGTGCCGGCAGTGATCCAAATATTGCAATTAAAAATCCAAAAGTTCAAGAATTGGCCGATAAATACAAGAAAAATCCCGGTCAAATTATACTGCGTTTTGCTTATCAAAATGGTGTGGTTGCTATCCCAAAATCCACAAACAAGGAACGACTCCGTGGAAACATCGACATTTTTGATTTCAGCCTCAGCAACGAAGATATGGAGATCTTGAACGCTCTCAATGATAATTCACGGTTATTTAAAGTAAGCAATGCTAAAGATCACAAATACTATCCATTCAACGCCGAGTTTTAGATTGGATATGCTATACTCTACACACGATGAATTTTGAACTCAATGACATTTTTCACATTTCATTTATGCTTTTACTTTGATTTTCGATAACATTTTGATATGGAAAATTTACCTTTGTATGTGCAAAAGAAATCTTTTCGAATAAAATTTATTTCCCAATTTTTACTGCAAAATGCGTTTTCTTCTATTGTCTTCGAACCTTTTCGAGATATTGAAAAGAGTAAAAGAAAAATGTTTTTTTCTGACGTATATTCATTTCCATTTTATTCATTTATTTTCTTTTTTTGTGTGTGTTTACTTTTGCATCGAACAAATACAATTACTCTCAGCTCTTAATATGTTCGTTCTTGATCAGAATCGTTTAAATTCATATATGTTTTCTTGTTAAAAGTTATAAAAAATATTGTGAATACCACTCGAATGGTAGAAAAAAGAATAATTAGAGAAAGAGATGAAAAATCAAATGTCATAGTCTTATTTGAAGCTCGATTCGTTTGTGTTGTGAATGTATTTTTTTTTTTCAGAAAAAAAAAAGGTTTTGTCGTCTTTTGTCTCTTCTCATGTTTGTGCTTGATGAAAAAGCAAACTTGTTTCTTCGCAATGGATCTAGCTATCATTGCGGTTTTACGTTTTTTTCTCTCTATTTTGACTGGCTTTATTTCCATCTAAAAATTAATTAAAATAAAAAGAAGAAGTCAAAACGCCATCACAATTGAGAAATGTTCGATGATTTGCGTGAGTTAAGTAAACCGTTTGTGTGTTTTCGAAGCAAATAATTGGAATTGTAATGTACAATAAACATTTTTTTCCTTTTTTCTTCACCGCCGATTAAACAATTGATTCACCTTGTTTTTAATTTTTTTAATATATTTCTTTGCATGCAGAAGAAGACAAACATATACATAGAATACGTTAAATTTAGCATCAAATAAGTACAAGTGCTACACAAATTTAATTTCTTAAGTCATGGCAAAAAAAAACCGTCTCATTGTTGATAATTGGAGACGGCAAAGATTATCTATTTCATTTTTTTAAATCACTCTGGAGTAAGTAAAAAAAATGTGTAAACGTTTTTTTCCGTTCCGCTGAATGTGTAAACTTCATTTTCTATCGTTTTTTTTTTCTTAGAGGGCAGGTCCCAGCTACAATATTTTTCGGATCTTCAATAGGAAGATTCCTAGAAACCTATGCAAACGAAAGAAATATTTATCGACTTTTTCTTTGATTATTCTTAATTTATTTCTTTTTTTCTGTATGAATATAGCTAATTTGACTTAAAAATACACACTGAATTACAGATACAGTTTCTTTTATAATTTTTCTTTTCCATTCTTTTTCCTTGTGTTCTTTCGGCCACATTAATTGAGACGTTTCAATTGAAACTAAAATATTGTTTCAATTACCAACATTTATATGTTTGTGTGTATTCATGCGATATATATTATCTAACTACATTTGCCTGGTGCACATTTACTTGAAATCTGACGACGACGACGCCGCCGACGACGACGATAAGAAGAAAAAACTGGACGAAAATAATATATTTTCCTCATTCCATTTTGATTATCTGTTTTATTTCTTTATTAAGTCATTTTTAATGGACGTGATTCAAGATCTTCCTATTTGTTTCTTTCTCTGTAATCAGCGGAATTTTTTTTGTACGCTGTTTTTAATTGTATACATATATGCATTTTTGTTTTAAATAACTCTTAACTTGGTGAAAAATAGAACAAAAAAAAAAATGGATTTAATTTCATTTTTTGTTTTAACGATTTTCGCTTTGTAAGCTTCTCGAATAAATCATTCACACATCCAGAAAATCCTAGCTTGTTGAATGCGGGGCACTTGTGCTTGTTTTGTTCCACAGAAATTGTTCAACGATTTTCAATATTCTGTAAATTTAATTACACAACGTACAACATAAAATATTGTGTCAATCAGTTGTTTTGTTTTTATCTAATCATTGTTTGTTTGTTTGTTACTTCTCTTCTTATATTCTTAAAAACATATTTCATTTTTTGTTTCCTAATTTAAAAAAAATACAATTATCACAAGAAATTATTAAATTATTAGTAAACATTGAAGCATATGCATTTATGAAGTGAAAATATTTATTATATTTTTTTTGTTTCTTTTCATTTTCTTTTTATGTGTGTGTTTTTCTCGTTTAAATATTATTATCTCAAAGAGTAGATCATCAAATTATTATTTAATGCATTAATTGGCCGAAGTCGGATAGCTGCTTGTGAGTCACATAACCTGAATTCAACGGAAGAGAAAAGAAAAACCGATCAGACAATTGCTTACATACAATCAAATTTAAATCAATAAAACCAAAATCTCATTTTTTTCATCAAAATAAATAATGATTAATTGCAATTCAAAGTGAATATGCGAACAGAAATTGGAATGTCATCATTCAATTTACCTGATATGCCTTGTATGTCGGTTGACGTAATGATCGGCGTTTTCGCTTTCATGTCTTCAGTGTGCGTTGGATTCTGCTGTTCAGTTCGTTGCCTTGAATCAACTGCACTCCACGGTGTGTATCCAGATGATACGGCCGGCTAATGTTCAAAATCGAAGGAATACCATTAATGTACACAATAAAATCAAATCAAATACGATTCAATCAAATCATATTTTTCTTCTGATTGGCAACCAATTCAAATAAAAAACAAGGAGCTTCGCTACGCTCTGCGTTCTTGAGTTTTTAGTTATTTAATCTATTTCGTTGTTTCACAACAAACTATTTTTTGGCGCACTACATGAAATGTATTTCATCAAAGTAACTTTGATGTAATACATTTATTTGCAAAATGAATTAAAAGATCTTGGTTTTATTTCTTTTTTGAAATATACTGCCTTTGGTTTAAATTAAATAAAAAAATATGAGCATAAAATTCAAATTCACCCTAATTTGTTCATCACTCAAAAAGTATTAAGAAAAAAAAAGCAAATTAGTTGCTCTACATTTCATGTAGTGCTAAAAAAAGAAATCGTACCTTCCCGATGATGGCTTCATGTGTGACATAGCCGTTGGATGTGAGCATCGGCGGTGATGGTGGCGATGAGATTATTTGACGGGGAGCAAAGTGGTTGTCTCGATTATTATGTGAATCGTGTAGACGACGATTATCGGGTGACATTTGTAACAAAGGTGATGGAGGCGTTGGATTTTGAATGATACCACCCTCTCGCATTTGACTTTTTTGCACTGGAATTAGTGGAGTCGGTGGCGACTGAAGAAAAATAAGGAACAGAAAATTGTTTTGTTATTTGACACAATTTAGTCAATCAAATAAATGTTTTTTGTCATTTTAATCTAATAAAAAAGACAGATTTATCAACTGAATGCCTTACCTTTTTCGCCTGAGTGTTGATATTGTCCGAAACGCTGCGTACGCTTTCTTCTTCGGTATTTTGTTCGTATTCGATAGAATTGTCTATACCTTCGTTGTATTCAGATTGGCTGTTGCTCTCGCTGCTGCTGGTGCTGGCTGATTCCATGCGGAATCGAACCAATGGGTCATTTTCTTGTTCGTTATTGGTCACATAGTCCAATGTTCGTCCCAATTCGTCACGTGTAATACCACCGTCCAGATGTTTGGCTTTGCTTTCCTCTTTAATATCTTCCAAACCTTCGGGTAGCTCCACACTAATGTCCTTCATTCGCTTGAGTTTTTTCATTGCAAAGAATGTGCCATAAACAAAAGCCATGGTGAATATGATCAAAAATACTAGCATAAAGTAATAGCCGCTCGATTTGGAATTAATATTCATTTGAGATGTGTATGACACGGAATATGGCCCTTTGAACAGTGTTGGCCATCTGTCGGCATCTAAATATGCTTTCAACAATGGATCATCTTCTTCTTCGCAAATTTTAATCCGAGCCAGATCAACGTTGAATGCATCATTGCGATGCTTGTAAACGCCGTCATTAATTTCGGTTTCGGTTGGTTTGTGAATGGCTTCAATTTTGTGATTCAAATTATAGGCTTTCGATTCGGTATCAATTTCTGGTTTCGAGTGTCGCTTCAACAAATTACTCTCACTCTTCGAGTGATCCGATTCAATATCAATGTATTTCTGAGCCAAATCACGTTTCGTTCGATAGACGAGACCTTTGTAATGTGACGATTGCAACACATTCACGGCCCGCACGGAAAAGTCCAACTTACCAACCAGAATGTTACGGAAATCATCGGTAAATTTGCACTTGGTACTGTTGATTGGTATCGTTTTTTCCTGTTTGCCATTGTTGGTGTATATAACGGACAATTCGTAATACTCCAATCGGCCACCCTTTACATTTGGCGGTTCCCAGCGCAATTCATTGTTTATCACCTTGGGCTGATGGATTGATCCCGGTTTGCCAATGGTGGTATTGAATGAAATGGCATTGCTTGACGGCGAACAGGCAACATTGGTGCATGCCTTAACAACGACTTCATAATCGGTGAAACTATCCAAACCGCTCAACAAATACGACTGTTGTGTGCTCTCATTTTTGTCCACCAGCAATACATTGCCATTGTATGAGAGTTTGTATTGCCGTAGAACGCCATTCAGAGCTTCGGGTTGTTCCCACGTCAATTCAACGGATGAATTGGTGATATTGTGCTGTCTTAAATTTCGCGGTGGAGATGGTGCTGCTTCAAGTGTTGTGTTCACTTGTGAATCACTCCACGGTCCTTTCGAATATTCCGACAGCATTTGGATGCGTACACTGTACGTGGTGTACGGCTTTAATTCTTCAAGTATATACTCTTTTGCTTCGGCCGAAATGTTGACACTTTTCGCGGTTTCATTGCATTCTTCCGTCTTTGGATCTTTGATTGGGCAATATTCCAAAATGTAACCGGTCAAAATGGTTCGATCGATACAGGCCAAACTCCATTTGAATTCAATGGATGTTGCCTGCACCTTTACCGTAATTATCGATGTCAATTTATTGATTTCATTGCCGGGTAAAACGGTGCACATTGCCCATATCATACCCGAACTCGACGATTCCGAATTGGCTGAGATGGCAAAATTCATGGAATTATTGGTTTCAAGTCGATAGCTTAGCACATCACTGCTAATTCGTTCGAAATCAATTGAGCCTTTGCAATCGTTCGGTGATTCATTGTTTGGTTCGCACCAGAAAATCGTGTAGCTTGTTATTTTTGGTCCTTTAATTGGTGCCACCCACGATATATTATACGTTCTATTATCCAAACGAATCTTTTTGATGAGTGTCGGTGGTTCGCATCGATCTTTAACGGCTGGCACAAGTACACTGCTATACTTGATCGATTTGCCCACATCATTTTGACTGTGTATATGGAAATTCAGTGGTTTTGTCATGATATTCGCATCGATGTACTCCAATTTGGCCAATGTTCGTGTCGACACAATCTGTGTGTCATTTGCATCGATAACAATATACTTTAAGTTTGGTCCATTGTTTTCGAATTTCAATAGTTCTTTCCAGTAGACAAATACGTGACCGCTATCGGTGAAACTGAATGATCCAATGTCGGTTAGTGGTGGTTTGTCGGGTATACGGGATTCCGTTTTGAATACACCCGAATTGTAAATAGACCACATTTCTGGTATGTCTTCGGCATCGTCGACTTTCAATGATATTCGATAGTCATACCACGTGTGTGCGTATGGCAGATTTGTCAATGCATGCCACATGTGTAAACGCTCACGTTCATTTTTGGTCTGTTCCCGGAATGGACCCAATTTTATCCATTGATCCTTGTGATACTCATTTGTATAGTTAATCATGTAGACAAATTCTAAAGTGAAGAAATAGCACCATTATAAGTTATGAACATACTGAGGGTTTATATGGTTGAATTATCTGATTATTGGTTGGAAATAAAGTGTGAAAATGAAACATGACATGAACAAAAACACAACTTACGCTTTGGGAAATTCTGCAACAACAATGGAATATCCCAATTTAATTTCACGGAATTTGATGTGATATTTGTTTCACGTAAACTTTCAGGCGGATTTGGAACCACTATAATATTTCACAAAAGAGAAAGAAAATTGTTACGTGAACAATTCATATACCAAAATTACCATAAAATGGTTCGACAGAACACTCGAAAAAAATGTGTTACACTGAAATTAACATATTTTTGAAACAACATTTTTCTTGAAAAGAAGAAAATAATTTTTAAAAAAGATCTATTTGAGAGAAAAAAAAACTCTTTTTGCAGAGAAAAATCACTTTGAAAAAAGTCAAAATAGTAAACACTGCAAGAAAAAACCGTTTCACGCGTGAAAAGAACTCACTAAGTTAAACGGCGAGAAATCGTTCGATACGGTACTTACTCATATTGTAGTGATAAATGGTGAAGTCTTCGGTCAAATTACCGAGTTGATTGTCTCCAATTAATCGGAAAAAGTAGTAGTCATAGGCCTGTCGATAGGGTGGCTCATTCTCAAATGTTATCGCACACGTGAATTTGCGATTATAATTTGGATTCAAACGGCATGGATTGGTCTGAAACGGTGAACGCAAAATTTTAACACAATCATCAAAATAAAAGAAAATCCATCAATTATTGAGTATTAAAATAAAAATAAAGTGTTTTTTTTTTCACACGAAAAAAATACAATGAAAATGTTGAACAAAAAAAATTGTCGATTCGATTTCTTTATCATATTTCATTGAGATATGCATTTTCATTGTATGGATCGATGTGATTCCATTGGGGGATTTTGCAATTGGAGAATGGCGATATTCAAATCTGCATAATAAATGTCGAAACGAAATAATGCTTACCGGTATGCGAAAAATGGGGTTTTCACTTCCAATTCCAATGGTATATAATAGCGTATAATTGACGGGCACTGGATTATACGGTCGTTCAAAGCTGCATGTTAAATTTTCCCAATTGGATGACCTGCACTTGAAATCAATCACTTTAACCGGTTCCGTGCCTGCAATTAAAACAAATACAAACAAAGCGAATGAGTAACCATCGCCATACAATTTTCCCTTTAAAATCCTAATTCAATACCAATTTGTGCGTTTATTTTGTATTATTTTCTACTTACCAACATTAATGGTCACCCGATTGATGCCCGTTTTATTGACCATACAATCGACGTGTGTGTCCATTATGGGCGCATTTACAATTCGAAACATTTTTGTATTACGATTTTTCGTCTGTAAAAAAAAACGAAATGAATAAATAAATATGTTGAATGTAGAAAAACAAATCTAGCGCCTACAAATGAATAGTAATAATTGAACGAAACACCGAAAAAAAAACTCACGATAATGTCTGGTTCGACGCCGCGCTCTTGAAACGAAAATTTCAAATCATTAATGGTGTAGTCCGACGAATCCAGTGTACAATTGATTTCAATTGTTTCGCCTTTTTTCTGTATGATGTTGCCCACCGGGTGCATGTCTATTAAAATAAAACCAAAATAACGACTCTTTTATTTTCGAACAATTCACATGAAATACGAAAGGCTGTTTTTCTGTAAACCGTTGCACAAAACCATTAATCAAATGCTTTTTATGCATTGAATCACTTAATATGTTTATTATTCTGATTTTTTTTTTAAAGTCAATGAATGCACTTACGACCCAGTGAAACGACTTCATTTATTTTAAATAAACTTAGAACTAGCAGTCCCAAAATATATTTCTCCATCATTTTGGTGAATTATGAATCTGAAATTGATACAAGAAAAAAAAACATAAACACAATTATTTAGGCACAATCAAATGAAATAGATGTTGGAAAATTAAAGAAACACACTCAAATCGTCTCGAGCGAAAAGAAATTGTTGTTTATGATGGATGGGAGCGTTTAAAACAAACAAAAAATTTAATGTGATTTTTAAATGATTTATGAATTTGCGTCCATCTCGATCAGCGCTACAAATCGAATTAACCATTGATTGAGCTTGTGATTTAGGATTTAGCATTCGGAATCCCTCTATCGTGAACGTTTGCAAAAAACAATTCATTGAATTTTCGTAGAATCGCCTCAATTGAATCGAGCTAAAACGCAACGGTTCACACGGTACACAGTCGTTGATAGCGCTAGACTTTGAGCCAAGCTCTAACGCTCGTTCGCCTACTCTCTCCCTCTCTATCTATCTCTATCTCTCTTTAATGCTTTTCATTCCAACTCTTTTTGATCTAACGCACAGCCAATCATTCGGTCACGTTCTGGCATTGGTGCGCTGCAGCTTCCACAAATGTGCGATGCTCAGGCACTCCGTTTTGTTTATCAAGTTTGCGTCGAAAATGATATATTCCATTAAAATCAGAAAGAAGTGTCTATTTCAATTTTTTTTCTCGCTCCTTTCGTTATACATCTTAATGTTTTCATTGCAATTTCGCACTGAGCATCCCATTCAATTTCAACTTGTGCAGTTGCAGCAGCAGCAGCAGCTGCAGCATCGCCATCGTCGCATGTTCTGCTCACAGGAAATATACGATTGCTTACGAAAAACGGTTGAAATAAATGTTATTAAACTCAGTAGGGAATAGCTCGTTGTGTTATTGTTAGTATAAGAGATTTTTTCTTTTCAAAGTGCGATAGCTGAATTTCGCGAAATTTGCATCGATTAATTGAAGAAAATTTATCGAAAAAGTTCGATATTTTCGTCGTGTTTTTTTTTTCATATCCGATACAGATATAGATTTTCTGTGTATTGTTTGCATTCTCTATTTCGCCGAACGTAAACGAAACCGTTACTTATTTACCTTGAATAATGGCTATTTGCATAAGTCAGACAGAAATAACGGTTGAATGTGAGTGTTATATAGTTTTGTGTTGTTGTTGTTTTTATTGCTGTTCAATGCACAATCATTTTCACTTATTGATCAACATTTAGAAAATTAGTTGCTATCAAAATTTACTTGGCACATTCAAACAAATATTCTTCGCTTGTCATATATATCGAATTTTCGTCTCATCCAATTCCAATAAGCTCGAGACGTTTCTACCAAATAGTAATCGGATTCAGCCAAAGCAACTTGAGCAAAAGGGCATAGTGTTTTTTTAAGCAATTCCTTAGAAAAATTGTTTTGTGCAAAATAAAACAATAATTGCCAGACACATGGGCGAATTTATGTCTGGTATTAAACGAAGATTTCCACATACGAGTAGATATGCGATGTTTGACGAATTTCATTTGAAGGCGAAAATGCGAAAAATTGACACTTCTACACAAAAACACACGAAAAAAAAAGTTGGATTAGTCCTTAAATTAGCTCACTTTTCAACACGATCGGAAATATCCGATGTTTGCTTGAATTCATTAAATGAACTCATGTGGATCTTCGTCACTCTTCGATTACGTTTGTTTTCCTTCTATTTGATTCGAAATTGCAAACACGGTGCAGATAGCATACAACAAAACATGTGTCCGAATACGACACGACCAAAACCACGTCCAATAACTTTGTTTGCCGTTGAATGTGTGAACGTTGCATGACATGGTGTCGGAGTGTGTGCATGCAGTTTGTTTATGCAATGGAACAACAATGGCTAAAAAGGGTAATCCGTGCAATTTTACGATAATAAACAACGCAGTTGATGTCGGCGACATAGTTTTCACGCGCAAGCTACTTTTTTCTCTCCCTCTCTATCCCATTCCATAGCTTACAAACCTGGTGCCGCTCTTTGTTTTTCACAACTCATAAATTCCCAGCAATTTTAATTGGTAATCCACCTGCAGGCTATTGTCCAAACTGACTAACTCACTTCTGTTTACAACACAATGAGAGAGTGAAAGAGAGGGAAAAAATGACCAACAGAAACGGAACAATTCAATTTCGAACGCGTCCCTGTGATATACATACGACGCTGGAAGTAAATGTATTTCAGCACAATGAAATTGGAAAAGAAACATCTTTTTCAAAACCTGGTGAATGAATGTGTGCGTTTGTTCGGTGTCGATATTTTTTTTTTATTATTGCAATTTCATGTTTGAATCATGCAATCTGCTGCTATTGACCATCGACACGGGCAAATTGAACATCTTTAATTAAGGCTTTTAAATAAGCAGAAACTACAAATTGAACCGCAATTTTGAGCAACGCTCAAAGTGAATGCCATACAGTTTATGGAACAACCAAACCGTAATAAATAAGCTGGTGGCAATTGGCTATGGTCAAGCATTTCGCCTCTGTGTTTGTCATATTGGAGAAATTGATCGTTTTCATGGTGTGTAACAAAGTTTTATGGAAATGCATTTGACGCGTACTTCTTTCTCTCCCTCTTTCTATTTTTTTGCCTACCGCATTGTGTGTGTATGTGTGTGTGTTTTTTTTTTTTGCACCAAGTGTAGTTTGACTGCAACTTGCGTCGCTATTATCGCATATTGTGCGATGCGTATATTTTGAGTTTATAACTAGCAATTGTGACGCTAATCATTCACCTGCGGTTTGCTTGTGGCAAGTATTGGTGCTATTGTGAAAATGCATGAATAATTGATGTGAAATCATTCGACGCGTCGTGTTGTTGGACGCGGATGATTTCCACAAAATCTATCCACCAAAATAAGTATCAACTCTGTGTTCCCATTTCGTAAATATTTAATGCATTTCACTTTGTTTTGAGCCAACCAACGAGAGAAATAAACGCGACACGGATAATCACATGTCAATGGTTATTGGCTAATTCCAGTGTCACAATTCATTGTCGATGACATGTGTTCATTCCAAAAAGCGATTACAAACAGAAAAAGGATATAAAGTCTGAAATAGTTTTCCTTATGTGTGTGTGGTTAAGCGAAGGCGTTAATCATTTGCACGCGACATAGCGAAATGGACGAAGATTATCAACGAATCCTGTACAGGATGTGCATGAGCCAAGTTTTTCTCTCTCTTCATTTTCAGTTTGTTTGTTTGAAAAAGCATGCGTGCAACTTGTTTCCATTGGAAGTTGCAATTAAAATGAAAACGTGCCCAGTTATCGATAGCCTGATTTCAAGGCTTCCGTCAATAACAACTCTCCGGAATTCTATTTGCGTATACTCAAAACAGTTTCAAAATTTGTAGTGGTTCTTGGTTTGTAGTGGTGGAAGATTTGTAGTGGTGGAAGCGTTGGTGGCTCATGGACTTGGATGAATGGATATTCTTTTTAAACCGCTTCGAGAATTAACCATTTGCACACCACACCAACTCTGAAATGATAATCGATTTGGGTAAGGATCATGCTCCCGAGAATGAGTACCCACAACGACAACGATGACCACGACGACGTACATTCCAAATGGAGCAATAAACGTAGTTGCAGACACATTGCCATTCGTATGTGTTTGAATGCAACAATCATAATTAAATCGCGCCAATTGTGTTTGTGTTTTTGCGTGCAAGTCGACTGCAATGCAATCAATTCCATTGAGGTGGATGAATTATTTTACTATTTCATCATTTCACCCATTTGTTTTTTGCTTCCTTCTATCCATTCTTGGGGATTCCTTGATTGCAAAATTATATCAGCAATACGAACCATTTGTTCAATTCAATAAACACCGAATCAGAACGACATTAGTTTTCTTCGTTTTTTTCCGTTGCCCCTGCGCGTCTCATTCAATTATCATTCCGCACCGTTGATTAGATCGTTTTTTTTAGATTGTACGTGGATGGTTCAAATGAGTCGGCCATTGCTCAAGTATTTAATTCTCTTTGAAAATAAATACCGCCACAACTTCAATTGAAACTGGTTTATTTTATTTGTTGCTGGGCTCTGCACTCCATTTCAAGGGTGTGAATTGCATTATTATCTATATCGAAAAATATGCTTAATTTATGTGCAATCCAAATTTCAATGAAGGCAAGGAAATTGCATTTGTTCGATCAATAAATGACGAAATGAAAAGAAAACCGAATTGTTTGCGTTTTGTGTCGCCAGTAGATGTCGGGCCGTTATTTCGGTTTTGTTTGCATTCCATTAAACTACTGAATGTTTGATGCTTCTGAATATTCTCTCTCTCTCTTTCTCTCTCATTCCCATTTTCGTTCGGTTATGATAATTTATGAACATTTTCGCCGTAGCACTTGATTATTATGCGGTTGAAATAAACAAAAGCTATATAATTCTCATCTTCTACGAATAGTTTATGATTTTTAAGAAACGATATGCGCGGCGCGTGCTCAGCTCATTTAATTTAAGGTTTCCTTTATCTGTCTCTACTATCTATGTTCTTCTCGTTTGCTCGCATTTTCCCGTATGTGCGCGCGCGCGAGTTTTTTTTTTCTCGAGATTTCTTCAAATTTCGGGAATTGAACAGAAAAATTGTGGTTTATGTGTGTATTTGCGCACAACTCGTCCCGTGCAACGCGTACCTAACTACGTACAATAGTTATATTGTTCGTAGTGGAAATGTGTTTTTCTTGTTGTTGTTATTTGAAATTTCGTTTATTTAAAAAACTAATGCTATTTACCTATGAGAGACGTGATTTTCAACGCTCAATACGGACAGCTCAATGTTACATTTCAAAAGGTTTGCGACGTGTGGTTTGTGTGTGTATTCATGGGAATTCTATTTCTCTGGAATTTTCGAGTCCTGTAATTGTGCCGCTATATTTAAAATGGTTTCGTATCATTAATTCTGATTACTTGATACAATCGCAAATTTTATCATGTGGTGCAGGTATTTATATGGCTCGTGCCGAACAAAACGTATACGTATGTGTTTGATTGTGTGAAT